TCACAGGGGTGATAACAATAAAAGTGATAAAAAAAAAAACAAAGGAAAGGGACAGTGTAAAAAAAAAAAATCAAAACGAAAACTAAAAAAACAAAAAACACCCACACCCCACCCCGCTTCCCGTACTCCCGTACAAAGGCTAATGCAAGCGTCGGTCCCGTGTCGGTATGTAAACAGACTGCACTATGTATGTGAGGTATTACCTCAAACGTCAGATCGAGGGCAGTAATTCTAGCACTGGTGACCTTTAAAGGCTTTTAAAGTGTAGCCAATCGATATTAAAAGGTTACCTAGTTTGTCGCCGTTGCACTGGCACGTGCAATTTTAAAGCTTGTCATGTTTGGTATTTATTTATTCGGCGTAATATCATCTTTTATATTTTATCAAACATTTGGGCAATATATTGTGTTTTTGTGTATTAAGATTCAAAAAAGCGTATTTTTTTCAAAAAATTAGCGCTTGAAAAGTCACCACGCAAATACTGTGAGACATAAAAAATTGCAACACCCACCAATGGATTCTCTAGGGCAATTGCTTTAAAAAATATATGTATGTTTGGGGGTTCAATGCAATTTTCTAGCAAACAAAATGTTTTTTCATGTAAACAAAAAGTGTCAGAAAAGTCTTGTTCTTTAAGTGGTTAGAAAAATGGGTGATGTGTGCCAGAAGCTTCTAATGTTGGCCCTGAAATTCCAGGATAGTAGAAGCTCCCCCCACCCCCCTCCCCGAATGATCACTTTTTGGAAAGTAGACACAGGTATTTGCTAAGGGACATGGAGAATATTTTGCAGATTTCATTTGTTGCCACAAGTTTTTGGAAATGAGGAAAAAAACAGAAATATATTTTTTTCATTTTCAAAATCCTGTGACAAAAGTGATATCTTCAAAATACTCACCATGGCGCTTATCAAATTGTCTACTTTCGAAAAAGGGGTCATATGGGGGGGGGGGGGGGTTGTACTACCCTGGCATTTTAGGGCATCTGAAATTGTGATAGGCAGTGAGGAGGTGATTTGATGAAATATGCCCTTTGAAAGCCTGAAAGTGGTCATTGGATTTTGAGGGCCTGTATGTGGATAGGCTGCCAAAAAGTCTCTCAAACATGGTATCCCCATACTCGGGAGAAGTAGCATAATGAGTTTTGGGGTGTTATTCCACAGATAACCATGGCATACATGAGTGATATATTATTTAAATCACAACTTTGTGTAAAAAAAAATGTAATTTTCCATTTCCAGTCAATCTTCCATTGACTCAACATGCCTCTCGGCAAATTCCTTGGGGTGTCTACTTTCCAAAAAGGGGTACTTTGGGAGGTCTTTGTACTGCCCTGGCATTTTAGCACCTCAAGAAATATGATAGGCAGTCAGAAAGCAAAAGCGGAGTAGATTGCAGTATCTATATCATAGTTTGCAGACACTATAACTTTCACACAAACCAATTAATATACAGATATTGGAATTTTTTTTTCTACCAAAGTCATGTAGCACAATACACTTTGGCCTACTTTGTAATCAAAAGTAGAAAATTTCTTTTTTTCTAAATTTTCGTTCTTTTTCTGTTCATACAACAAAAGATAAAAAAACCCAGTGGTGATCAAATACCACCAAAAGAAAGCTCTATTTGTCTGAAAAAAGGACATAAATTTCATTTGGGTACAGCATTGCATGACCGCACAATTACCAGTTGAAATAGCGCAGTTCCGAATAGCAAAAAATGGCCTGGTCAGGAAGGGGGGTATATCTTCTGGAGTGCAAGTGGCTAAATGATGGTGAATAATTCACCATCAGTGAATGTTTGGTGAGAATCATTTTCATTGTTTTAGAAATATGCCCCATTAAAGAAATCCTAGTAGAAATAATTTCAGGGAAAGTGTAGCGCTCACATCTGGAAGGGGAGGAAGCTCTAGGCATTATAACAAATTTTTTTTCTTTGAATCAAGTCAATAGAGCATTGATAGGGCAGCTCCTTTGTTGCCTACATTTTCTAATTGAAATGATACGAACTAAGGATCAATTAACTTTTTTTAAAAAAATACAAGGTAGCAAAGTAGTCATTATACCTTTTTGAATTGAAATAAGAATAATGTACAATAAATGAGTATACAGTCATGGCCGAAATGTTGTTGGCACCCTTGATATTTCTCCAGGAAATCATGATATTTCTTACAATTCAGATTATACACATGTTTTGCTATACACATGTTTATTCCCTTTGTGTGTATTGGGACAAAACAAAAAAAGGAGGAAAGAAAGCAAATTCGACATAATGCACACACACAAACCTCCAAAAATGGGCTGGACAAAAGTATTGGCACCCTTTCACAACTGCGGATAAATAAGAATGTTTACAAGCATGTGATGCTCCTGTAAACTCACCTGGGGCAAGTAAAGGTGTGGGCAATATAGAAATCACACCTGAAAGCAGATAAAAAGGAGAGACGTTCTTTATAACCTTTGCATTGTGTGTCTGTCTGTGCCACACTAAGCATGGACAACAGAAAAGAGGAAACGAGAACTGTTGAGGACCTGAGAACCAAAATTGTGGCAAAATATCAACAATCTCAAGGTTACAAGTCCATCTCCAGAGTAGATTTGCCTTTGTCCACAGTGCGCAACATTATCAAGAAGTTTGCAACCCATGGCACTGTAGCTAATCTCCCTGGTCGTGGAAAATAGAGGAAAATTGATGAAAGATTGCAACGCAGAATAGTCACTTTATGGTAAATCTCTATAGGACCAAACATAATTGCAACCCCAAATCCATTGAAGCTGTCAGTGACAGCCCCAAAATATTCAGGGGAGCATCAGTGTCAGCGCGAACTATCCGTCGACATTTAAATGAAATGAAACGCTATGGCAGGAGACCCAGGAGGACCCCACTGCTGACACAGAGACATAAAAAAGCAAGACTACTTTTTGCCAAAATGTACTTGAGTAAGCCAAAAGCCTTCTGGGAAAACGTCTTGTGGACAGATGAGACCAAGATAGAGCTTTTCTAATAAGCACATCATTCTACTGTTTACCAAAAACGGAATGAGGCCTACAAAGAACAAAACACAGTACCTACGGTAAAAATATGGTGGAGGTTCAATGATGTTTTGGGGTTGTTTTGCTGCACTCTGGCACTGGGTGCCTTGACTGTGTGCAAGGCATCATGAAATCTGAGGATTACCAAAGGATTTTGGGTCGCACTGTAGGGCCCAGTGTCAGAAAGCTGGGTTTGCGTCCAAGATCCTGGGTCTTATCCAGCAGGACAATGACCCCAAACATACGTCAAAATAGCAAAAGTTTTGGATGGCAAAGAAGCGCTGGAGAGTTCTGGTGTTGTGGAGAGTGTCTGAAGTGGCCAGCAATGAGCCCAGATCTAAATCCCATTGAACACCTTAGTGAGAGATCATTAAAATTGCTGTTGGAAAAGGTGTCCTTCCAATAAGAGAGACCTGGAGCTATTTTGCAAAGGAAGAGTGGTCCAAAATTCCGGGTGAGAGTGTCAGAAGCTTATTGATGGTTATAGGAAGCGACTGATTTCAGTTATGTTTTCCAAAGGGTGTGCAACCAAATATTAAGTTAAGGGTGCCAATACTTTTGTCCAGCCCATTTTTGGGGTTTTGTGTGACATTATGTCATATTTGCTTTTCTGCCTCTGTTTTATATTTGTTCCAATACATACAAAGGGAAATAAACATGTGTATAGCAAAACATGTGTTAATGCAATACCTTTTTTGTGTGAAATACTTGATTTTCAGGAAAAATATCAAGGGTGCCAACATTTTCGGCCATGACTGTATATTTAAACCTAAAATGTATGTTTTTTGTAAAAAATGAATTGGGGGTTCTAAACACTCTACATATTTATGACTATTACAAATCAGAAAATACAAATATGAATGGATAATATGCATACTTTGTAATATTCACAAGTATTTATAATTAAGACCCGCTTGATTGTCTTATACATCTTGACTTTGGCACACATGCACCAAGCAACTACCTTATAAAAAAATTAAAAAATTAAAAGACCATTATCTTAGCTTTACTCACAAAAGCAAGTTTTCAGAATCATTGTGCATATTCTATCACATCAGGCAAAATGTGCCAATTAAATAGTAAGCTGAAGGGGTAATATAAATGAAAAACTCTTTATACTTGCAGTAAATAATGTTTTTACATAGAAGTAATTGAGAATAAAAAGTAAATGAGCATCTTTCAGGTATGTAAATGTTTAAAATATTGAATAGCTCTCATGACTAGACCATACACTGAGTGCAAGCTACAGATTAGAAAATAAGTAATGTTCTCTTAAGTCACATGAAAAGATTCCTATAAAAATTACTTGAAAATAGCAGGTATACTTGTAAAAATGACTGTAAAATGTCACTTTATGTAAATCTCTATAGGAACAAAGTAATTTTAAATCCTGAAGAATTTCAGTGAAAAATATTCATGAAATTGGTAGCATACATGCTCACCTTATGTAATACAAGGCAGCGTGACTCCAGAGACCTGGAACTAGAAGTCATGCACTATAAAATAAGTTCCATTTTAGTCTTAACTTTAAGAAAACTGTCCATGAAAGTAAACTGAAATTTGGCTTTTTTTTTCTAAAGTGCAGCTGATGAAATTCCACTGATACTTACCAATGATAGTACAGTCATTTTAACTAATAACAATAATTATTTTCAAATAATTCCAAGAATTAGCAATACTTTTTACAAAATCTCCCTACCTATATATAATGTCTTCACAAATTTAAAATATTACTCCACATCAATAGCAGCAAGTGAAAAGAGACAATAAAAAAGATAGTGAGTAGTGCTTAGAAGGCATATCAGCATCTTAGTCAAAGACCAAGCACTGAAAATTTTTTATAAGCCATTTTATCCATTTATAGATCTGAGGTGTTTTTTTATATCATAGCAAAGAGTTTTTCATGAATGTGATTTGCTTGTCTTGAGTTTTACAGATTTTTGTATAGATTATTCCTTTGGTCTTAAAGCCTTAGCTGATGCGACATTTCTCCTTTTTGCTGAGCTTTCTCCTCCTTTGCTCAAGACTTCTCTCTATTATTTCGTCTTCTTCTATAGCTCTATAAGAATCAAGCAAGATATCAAACATTATTAGTTATTTGTGATGGATAGAATTGAAGAACTTGTATATATATATATATATATATATATATATATATATATATATGTGCATGCATACCTCCTCTCTTTTATATGGAGATCTCTCACAAGGCCATCACGCTGATCTACTAGAGACACTAATTCATCAAGTAAAAGTTTCTCTCTTCTCTTCTGAGCTTCACTTTTTAAGTAATCTATGGTGAAATAATAAAAATATTGTAAAATTTGTACTCTTGTACTTGTAACTTTTTTGAACTGTTTGTATTATTTAACCACTTCCATACAGGGCACTTTTACCCCCTTCCTGCCCAGGCCAATTTTCAGGTTTCAGCGCTCTCACACTTTGAATGACAATTGCACGGTAATACAACACTATACCCTAACTAAAATTTTATCATTTTCTTCACACAACTAGAGCTTTCTTTTGGTGGTATTTAATCACCGCTGGGGTTTTTATTTTTTGCTAAATTAACAAAAAAAAAATGAAAATTTTGAAAAAAAAACACATTTTTCTTTGTTTCTGTTATAAAAGTTTGCAAATAAATAATTGTTCTTCATAAATTTAGGCAAAAATGTATTCTACTACATGTCTTTGGTGAAAAAACACAAATTAGTATTTATTATTTAGTCTGTAGGAAAGTTATAGAGTTCACAAACTATGGTGTATATCTGAATATTGATCAATCCTGAAGTTCTGACAGCCAATCTAATTTCTTGAGGTCCAAGAATGTCAGAACAGTACAGATATCCCCCAAATGACCCCTTTTTGCGAAGTAGACAGTCCGGTGTATTTCATAACAGGCATGGCGAGTTTTTTGAAGTTGTAATTTTTTTGTCATAATTTTTCGGAAATGAAGAAATAAAAAAAATGATTTTCACTAGCTTTTTTTAACATACTGTCACCAGTGCAGTACAGTGTCATCATATAACTGGCATGGCGGTGATCAGGGACACTGACTGGTGACAGTACGAAAAAAAAAATAAATGATATTTTATTTTTATATTTTATTATTTTTTATTACATTTTTTCTTTTTTTTTATAAGATTTTTTTTTCATATTTCACTATGACCAAAGTAGTATAATGTTACCATAGTAACAGTGTACTACTTTGGGGAAGTGATCTATATATATATATATTTTTTTTTTTACACAATTTGCTTATAGCAAAGAATTACTTTGCTATAAGCAAGCATTTACCTGAATGAAATCGATTCATTCAGGATTTTTTTTTTTCTTAACTGTGATTTGGCCACAGCTAATCACATGACACAGCTGGGCTGTGATTGGCCCAACTTGTGCATGTGATCGCTGTGACCATTCAATGGATGGCATGATAGGAAGCCATCCATTGTATACAACTGTCATGTGACCTGCTGTTATTGGTCACAGCAAGTCACATGGTACTGTCAATGGGGCCGGTACACAGATCTGTCATCGGCCGGTGACAGATCGCGCCGCTGTGCGGCTCTGCTGGCATGCAAACTGCGCATGCCTGAAAGGAAGCCATATGGGGGTTTTTGCTGCCCGCCATTCGGCCATAGTCCGGGCGGGAACCGGTTAAAGTGGTACTATACTCACCTCTGTTCCAAGGATGACACTTCCATGATCCATCTCACAAGTGCTGACATTTTCTATCTGGCTTCTTCTAGATTCAGCATCAAGAAGAATGCAGGCAGGATGGTAAGAAGTCTGCATTTCAGAAGAGACATATTGGGGTTTATTTACTAAAGCTGGAGAGTCCAAAATCAGACTCCCTTCTGCATAGAAACCAATCAGATTCCAGGTTTCATTGCCAAAGCTTCATTGAACAAGCTGAGGTTAGAAGCTGATTGGTTTCTATCCAGAAGGGAGTCTGATTTTGGACTCTCCAGCTTTAGTAAATAAACCCCATTATGTCTCTTCTGCAATAGAGAAAAACCCTTTCTACAATTTTTTGGAGACTGGCCACAGTTTTGCTTTAAAGCCCAACTTCAGCCAACATTTCTTTTTATAGAATGGGAATTCTGCCGGGTTTTTTATTGTTGTCTATGCCTCTCTAGGGCAGATTTACCCTCACTATACGTTAGTACAATCAGGGCAGAAACAAAACAAAATTACATTTGCAACAGAATGAGGACGGGTTAGAACTTGTTTTGTTATTGTTGTGTTGTCCAAGCCTTTCTGTCCTAGGTTATAGAATCGTACCTCCAGGTGATTGGACACTGGCAAAGATTTCAAGAACATGCCCCTGAATGCCTCCCCTGTAACTCTACCCTGCTCAGTGAGTCCCCAGTTTTGTAGCAAGCAATGCAGAGTAATCAAGGAATGGAATAGAGGGTGGCCTGTGTCTTGTACTGTTCTCCAAAATATGGAATTTACAGGTAAGTCAAAATTACACCTATCTTAATTGTATAGTACAGGACACAGGCAAAGTATTCATAGACCCTGGGGCATTCCCAAGCAATGAATGAGAAAGGTGGGCAACAACTAGGCATACATAACTGTACCAACAGGCCCAACAACAAGAGTCAAAAGACCCGATATCAGAGTGCTGCTGGAAGAACCTTGCAACCGAAAGATGCATCTGCAGAAAATTGGACATCCACCAGATAGAACTTTGAAAAGTTAAGAACAGAAGACCAGGTGGTGGCTTTAGAAAGCTACAGAGGCCTGGTGCTGGAAAGCTCAGGAAACTCCCACTGATCTGGTGGTGGATGTAAAAAATCAGGAGGAGATTTTTCCTTCAAATTGTAAGCTCTAACATTCAGATTTCTTATCTATCGAGTGATGGAAGACTTGGGAGTAGGGTGTCCCTTGCAAGGTCCTGAAGACAGAACATATAGGGAATCCATCTTCCTCACTGAAGCTGTTGCTTTGGTGTAGACTCTTAATGATTGCTACTATGTCCAGGTAATGAAGAGAGATTTCCTTTGGATGCTTTGAAGCAGGGCATGAGGATGGGAGGACAATGTCTTCATTGAGGTGGAAGACTGATACCAACCTCAAGAAGAGATGGTCTTGGGCATTAGACTAACTTGTCATTGTGAAGGTCGAGGAACGGCTCTTTACAAGAGTGAGCTATCAGCTCAGAAACACATCTGACAGATTTCATGGCAACCAAAAGGGCCTCTTTGCAAGAGGTGTCATTTAGGGGAATATGGATTCAAAGGGTTGTTTTTTGAAGGGAAGAAAGAACTAAGTTAAGATCCCAAAAAAGCGCAGGGGGATTGATCCAAGATAAACTTGAACAAAGGTTTTTCCAAGGAAGTACAAAGACAGCGGACCTTGAAAAAGAATGGGCAAAGCTGAAACCTGACCTTTTAGAGTGCTTAAAACGATTGTAAAGGCAAGACATTTTTTACCTTAATGCATTACCCTCTCAATCTAGCGCTGTGCCCATCTGTAGTTACTATCTCTTGGGGCCACTTTGTGCAATACCATTGCATAGAACAGGTATGTATGCCATGTTTAAAAAAAAAAAAAAGGCACAAAGTAATCTCTGAACTTGAATTCACACTAGGCAAAGAAGGATTTACAGGTACAATAGTACATCTTTCTGGAGGGGGCTTTTCTTGCTTTCAGCAAGATAGGAATAACAGACTCAGAGACAACTCTATCTCGTAAGACCTGGGTTTCAACAGCCATGCCGTTAAAGTCATAGACTGAGAAGCAGGGTGGAGTAGAGGGCCCTGAGACAGCATATCTGGCCCACTGAAGAGAAGCTAGGGGTCATCTGCTAGACGTCTAAGTGTGTCTGTGTGCTTCTGGGACAGTTTGCTGCAATGAAAATTACAGTCTTCCTATCGTGCTCTTTTTGAGTACACAAGGCAGAGGTAGATTATTGTTGAACCTGGAGGCTAGGGTGTCTATATCCAGAGTCCCCCATTTCTCATAAATCAAATAAAAGATGTCTGGGTGAAGGGCCCATTCTTCTTGATCCAAGCAGAGGCAGCTGAGATAATCTGCATTTCAGTTGTCCACTCCTAGAATGTGGACCACAGAGATGGCTGGACAGTGAGTTTCTATCAACTAGATTATCTGGCTTACTTCCTTCAAAGCTGCATGACTCTTGTTGCCCCCTTGGTGATTGATGCAGGCCTCAGCCATGGTACTGTCTAGCTACATCAACTTGGTGCCCTTGCAGAAGGGAGGTCCCATGTCGCAGAGCCATTCGTATTGCTCAGAGCTCAAGGATGCTGATAGGAAGCTTGGCTTACATGGGTGACCATGTTCCCTGTACCATGTGGGACTGGAACACTCCTCCCCAGCCTTAGGAAGGAAAGATTTCCCTACTGTTAAGCCTGAGCTGGAGACCAACCAAGTTAGGGAATTGGCTTGACTGGATAGGAGCATGGGTAGGTCAAGAGAAGGAGCAAGTTTATTTCAAGTCAACAAGATGTGTTGGAGAGGTCTCAAATAGCATTGGGTAAATGCTACTGTCTCAAAAAGAGGCTACCAAAAGGCCTAGAAATCCCATTGGAGAGCAGAATTTTCGAAACAAATCACCCAGAAGAAGGCCTGGAGCATCTTTTCTTCTCTGTGGACGCTTGCAGACAACAGTATAAGAGATGACTCCTTCAAGAGAAAGCTGACATAATAACCTGTGACCTGGGTGTCTTAAGTTCTGAGAAGGGCAAGAAGAGATGCTAGGACCTTTGTGAACACTCTGGGAGCAGAGGATGGGCCAAAGGGCAGTGCAACAAATTGAAAATGGTTGTTCGCCACTGAAATGAGGAGTAAGTGCTGATGAGGTGATAGAGGCTCCTGAAGAGGAAGGAGGCAGACTAGAATCTTCCTCTATGGAGGTAAAAGCTCCCCTCCTGTGAAATCTTTGATGAATTGATAAAGTACCTCTCCAAAAATACAGCTGCCTTGAAAGGGCATACATGTGAGGTGCTTTTTTGAGGCAGCTTCAGCTCTCAAGGATTTGAACCACAAGGTTTTGTGCTCATGAATTGAGATTAGAGTCTTTCTGGAAATTTGTCCCATGACATATTCAAGGACATCCACACAAAAGAGCAGAGCAGAAGGAAATTTTTCTGGTCCTGGAATACAAAATACACCAAGTATAGCCCTGGAATACAGGATCCTTTTGGTTGTTCATTGCCCTACTTAGGTTAGCTGCAGTTTGACGTACTGAAATTGCAGCAAGAGTTAGTTGCAGGGCTGGGCCTTTCAGAGTAAAAAGAGACTTCATAAGCATCTCAAAGGTTCTATCTACAGAATCCATGCATAGAAGAACATCTTCAATTGGTAGTGTAAGAAGTTTAAGACTGAAAATGCAGGATCAACTACAGGAACACTCCACTTTTTATTGAACACTTTTTCCACTGGATAAAATTCTGAAAAGATTTCTGGAGTAAGGAAAAGTTTTTGAAGGTCTCTTTGTAACCAAGGATGCCTGGCGAGATGGAGGAGAATCAAGAACTATAATGCTGAGGCTTTTGTGCATGGCAGTGTAGCAATCATGCAAACAGAGATGGATGCGAACCTCCATTTTGGCAAAGGATCATCCATTTTGTATAATTATCTCTCTCTCCCTCTGTCCTCATCCCCCCTCCCTCTCTGTTGAGTGACATGTGGTTCTGGTGTGCTTGCAGAGATCACAGGCAACACACTCAGTGGGATGGCGTCCTGACTATAAAACCTCACTAGCTAGGTGCCCCCCTGTCTAAGAAACTCTTGCTTGGAAAGGGATCACAAAAGTGTAAACTGAGTCCTTCACTGAGTTCAAAGACATTCCAGATAAGTCATAAACTAGACACCACATTCAACATTCATTTTCCCCTATGATTACATATGTTGGATTATGGAAGACTCACATAAACATGGAGCACAGATTCGGATGGCTCACTTTGATACCAATCTCCTGATATATTACATCCCTTATCTAAGATATATAGGAGAGCAGAAAATTATATCTCCTGAACCATGCAAGTAAATAAGTCATATTTCATATCTAACCATTCCGCAAACGCGGCTGCGTATTAATCTACTAGTGGCAAGGCTGCTAAATGCCCCGAGAATAAGTTATGAATCATAATAGAAGCTATGAGAGTTTTGATAACTTAGGTCTCCACCTACACCTCCCTCCCCAAATGAGGTGATTGGTTTACTGCTCCAGGGAGACACCCTGTTGAGTTACTAGAAAAGCTAAGCAGGCTGAGTTGAGCTGTGTGTGAGAGTTGAAGAGTCTCCTGTTTTAACATCGAAACTGACAGTGGGAGATAAATCCTTTGCTCTGAAACCTGATCTGCTTAACCCAGGACTTTGGCAAGTACTTTATCCCTCTAACTTCTCTCTGTTATCTCTTTGCTGTGCTATTGTTCTCTGTATATTTAAATATATATATTGGCTACATTTTTTCCTGTAAATATTTTTATTGCACCCTTTTAACCTTTTAGTAATAAATCTTACTTTCTGAAAGTGTTGAACTGTTTCTAAAGCTCTTTAATGCAAATTACGAATTCCTGCCGCTGAACAGCGCTACTGTGTGGGTTTAACCCTCTGTATAATCTCTCTGCGGTGACAGTGGTATACAGATGATTATCCAATCATCATAGTGTATTGCTAATATTGCCGAGTTTCCTCTTTCTCTGTACAAGAAGGAGGTGGTGGCAGTGTGAAGGGTTAATTGTGTAATTAACCTGACCCAGTAACAATCGCGCTCAGGCTGCCGGTACATGGATTGTGGTCCATTAGGTGGAAAATCTTTGTGCAGAGTGCAGCTGGGCGTGGCATTGTTATGCACGTGACAGTGGGGTTTTAGATAGGCTAATCCTTCGCTCACAAGTTTGGTGGGGGCTGGGGTCTGACACCGTGATCCTCACCAGGCAGCAGCGAGCTTATCCACATTAGAAAAAATGTTTCATGAAGTTCTTGCTTTAGGTGTATAGGAGTATAGAGGAAAAAATCTTCCATTGCCTCCTCCAATGTTGCTTTTATATTCTCCTTATTCCCTTATTTGTCTGCCTCATCAAGGGCAGGCATATCTGGATTTGACCCAAGTAGAGACAGGGGAACTAGAGACGGGGCATGGTGTCTGGTAGCAGACAAAGATGACTGTATTAAGGCTGTTAATTGTATGAGGAATTGTGACATACAGTAGATACAGAAAATTCTGCTCTTGTCAGGAAGGTAGCTTATTGCAGGTCAATAAAAGAGTTACAATTGGAAGCAGAGAAGGGTGTCAAAATCAGTTCCTGCTTGAATGCAAGGGAAGCATCATCACTCTGAGGTTGCGTGTAGTGTGGACCTTCAGCTAAATGAATGTTCACCTGAGGCTTAGCCAGTGATCCCCTTTGCCTGGTATCCACTAAAGCTATGAGTGAGGAAATTCCTTGTGGGGTACTCACATCATAGGGTGCAAAATATAAGGTATGTATGTCCGGAAGGAGTACATAACAACCCTAGTGAGTGTAGACTGCCCTGTAAAAAAAACCTCATGATGAGAGGGGTTCTAGGCGGATGTGGCAGTAAAGAATGCAACCTGTGGTGTGATGTCACACCTGGTTATCCACCTGACACTGAGCTCTAAATTGTTGAATTTTAGTGCCAAGTTTACAATGTTTATACTGTAAAGAGAATACATTCCAAACATAGCCCTGTTTTTAAAGTAAAGGTCAAAGATAAAGAATGACCCTGTCTTACCTATCCATGATGCTGGACTTTATATTAAGTCCAGGCTTTTCCCATCACAGTAGGCATACACTTTAGGGGGTCTTAGTTCCATATGGATGGACCACAGGCCCTGGACCTTTATGACACCTTGTGGCTGACTACAACACATTGCAAAGAAGTGCCATTACAAAGAAGTGCCAAGAGTGCCTGTGTGCGATCTAGTGCCTGAAGCAACATTACAAGGCTGTCTCCGCAGGGTGCACTCGGTACATCTTCCAAAGTTTTACAAAAACTGCATCTATCCAGATGTAGTGCTTCAATTTAGGTATTAGAAGTCAGTGAATGAGATGACTGAAGAATTGAAGAATCCAAAAATAAAACCATAAAATAATAAAACAGTAAGTTAGTAAAGCTAAAAGTGATATTTTTTGCAAAGGAGAAAAGGTCCATCACCTTAAGGCACTAGGGCACCCAGGACTTACTGGGTGGGATAGTATTACACAGGAGATGCTCAACAGGTGTGTCCTTGAAAATTTTGCCAGTGTCCAATCACCCAAATGTACGAGCCTATAACCTAGGGTCCATGAATACTTTGCTTGTGTCTTCTACTGTACAATTAAGATACAAACGTTTTATCTACAGATACACTTTAATAATATGTTTAGGCCCAGGTTCACATATGTCAATTTATCATAATTTTTCGCCTCGTGATAACTTCAATTCATATTCACAATATTTGCATTTTATTTACTGGATGAGGTACTATAAAACTTAATTTTTTAGTGTCCTTCCTATTTATGTAGGATACTCAGTAGTTTTAGTATTGTGATTCAGCCATAAATTTAAAGAAACATTAACTCATATAAAGAAGAATATATCAAAACCTCACCATCAGTACATAGCAACGCTCGAAGGTCTCTGCTCAGGAGTTCAAACCTCCGTTCCAGATCTTGTTCCTCTGCACTAACATTTAAAAAAAAGTAGTGGTTAAAGTAGACTGGCAGATGTAAATTTTATGTTAAAGATCACTCAATTTGATGTTGTATTTAAGATCAGTCATAGGAATTAAAGATCTCCAGTACTTACAGTAACTGCAGTTCATCTTGCCTCCTGATTAAAGCATTTTTCTTATTCACCAATGTGAACCATTCTTGGATAAGGGTTTCTTCTGCTTCCTTGTCAGAGCCTAGGAATTAAGGGGATGAAGGTATTTAAAAGTGAGTTGGGGAAGAGTAATCCTGTGTTATATAGCTGGTAAGGTTGAATAAAGACACAGGTCCATCCAGTTCAAAAAGTTTCCTCCCAATGCTAGAGTCACCATTAAATGAATTGTATATCACTATCATAATGCCCTTTTAAGTGTCACTTGTCCAGGAAGAATATGGTTAATGCTTACAGTTGTTCCTCATAACTGAGGTCCTCCAGCCCAATATTAGCACTGCTGCCCTTCTCTGGACTCTCTCCAGTTCAAGGAAATCCTTCCTGAGGATTGATGACCAAAGCTGAATGCCATACTCAAGATGTGGATGTTGTCATCATTTACTACTGTAACTTTTGTAATTTTGGAGTAAGGCCTCATGCACACGAGGTGTGTTTTGAACCTACTGCTAAGGGCTTCAGACGTTTTTTTTTTTACTGTCCCTAAACTCCCCTGCATGTTATCCTATGTGTCCATGCACACATAGGCTTTTAGCAGAGATTTGTGGCAGGATGCATCCTGGAGCAGCGACGTTTTGATGCAAAAAAAACGCTTGATGCACTTAAACGCATGTAAACATGCCTAAAGGCTAGGCATGTCTAGCGCTTGAGCATTAATGTATTTCAAAGCCAGAATAATATATTTATTCTGGCCAATGAAGTTAATTGATGCCCAAACACTTGACGTGGGTAAAAGAGTGTAAACGCGGTACACGCTTTTACAAGCATCAATATTTTTTTTTGGTAGAAATGCTGCTGGCTTCTGGGGGAGTGAAAAATAAAATGTCGGTGTGCATGAGGCCTTAAAGTCAACTTAAATGTTAAACTAGTGCCATGTAAATATGATTATGTGTGTTCATTTGTGTTTAAAAGCGTTGTAACCCTTTAGCTTTGTTTTTAATGAGCGCAGAAAGTATCAATAGTGCTTCAACCTACAGTATAGGATAGATTTACTAAAACTGGAGTGTGCAAAATTTGGTGCAGTTCTGCAAAGAAACCAGTTAGCATCCAGGTTTTCTTTGTCAAAACTTAATTGAACACGCTGAAATTAGAAGGTGATTGGCTACCATGTACAGTTGTACAGAGTGCTCCAGCTTTAGTATATCCCCCTCAATGTTTCATAGGATTACCTGGTTAAATGTGATTGTGTAGCATAAAAAATAAATTAAAGTAATAATGTAATAAAATACCATTTTCCATTAGAGTTCGAAGATCCTTTTCTACTACTGCAGCTCTTGTATCAATCTCTTTTTGTTGGTCTTCCAAAGCTGCAAGCTCAGACATCACATACTGGCTGGTGTCTTTAAGAAGCTGAAAATTAAATAATATAACATATGAATTTAGGATATGGTAAAGGTAATATAAATATAAGTTCAATTAATTTTCTAAGGCTAACCATTCAAATAACATGACAAAATTAGCATGCATCATTTCACTTGCATGACTCCTAATTCAAAAATATTCTCACCTACACATACAGAATACTTAAAAAAATGATTACAACTGGGAAAATCAATCATCAAAAAGGATCTGGGTGTTCTGATAGATCACAGATTTAACTAGAAAAGCTACAATTTCTGGGGAAATTGTGTGAAGTGTTCTTTCATCCACCAGTAGTCTACAACTGGAGTGGGCGGAGTAGCTTGTCACTCTGCTGCCTGCTCACACACCTGGGTTCCTATGGCAACTCACTCTACAGCAAGGGAAAACAAACTTCTCCAACTTGCTCACTTCACTGGTGGTTGCCATGTTCAAACAGTTGTAGTTTAAAAATTATAAATCCTACACCGAAGAGCTTTATATTGTGAGAATCACAAGACCCAGACCTACATTTTGATGCATAGTATGTCTCTGAAATATTAAAAATGAAGACACAGTCGCAGTTTAGAAATTGCCCTTCAAATTTGAGGTGGCTAGAGTGGAGTTTCAATGAATGTCAATGTCAATGATAGTGTTCACAATATGACCATTTGTTTGCAACTCACGCCGCCCATTGCCATTCATTGAAACTCCACTCTAGCCACTTCAAATTTGAAGGGCAATTTCTAAACTGTGACTGTGCCTTCATTTTTAATATTTCAGAGATGCATACTATGCATCAAAATGTAGGTCTGGGTCTTGTGATTCTGTAGTGCACAATAAGTGCTGATAGAAGAAAATGTATACACAATAAAAAGTGCTTTGAGATGGTATGCATATTGAGGTGCAGGAGAATGTACTATACACAAGCATATGTAGACCTTCTTATTTTGATAAGAGGTCAAAACAGTCTGGAGAGTAAGCAGTTTAAAGGGGCACTCCAGAGCACGTGTTACAAGCCAGATTTGGTGAAGAGTTGGCACTGAAATATACGTGATGACATCGCATATGATGAAACGCGTAGGTCAGAGCCATGCACACTCTACCACACATTCGCAACTGGCCGATGACCATCCTTGTTCCTGGAAAGAATTTCTATTTGCCGTTTTTTTACATGCTGGTTTTACAGAACACAATGTAAGTGCAATTCTGTTTAATACATTTTCTGTGCTATGGTTTTTACACTATGTGGAGTATTTCTTCATTGCATTTGTTCTGCTGCAAGTTCCGATTCAGTTAATTAGTGTTGGAGTGCTGTGGAATTGTTAATCATAGAGACAGCAGTGGGTCAAATAGCTTGTCACATATCTGGGCTTTTAGATGAGACCATTCGGGTCAACTTTATCATCTTACCCCTTGTGTGCTGTTTGATGTTACTGTCACATTTCATGTATTGTCCCCCCTCTATTGTACAGATGATGCAAACCCTTTGGCGGTTTAAACTCGATAAATAAATAAATAAATAAATAAATAAATCTTAACCACGGGCCTCCTGAGGATTTACCCCCCTTCCTGACCATGCCATTTTTTGCGTTACGGCGCTGCGTTACTTTAACTGACAATTGCGTGGTTGTGCAACGCTGCACCCAAATTAAATGTATGTCCTTTTCTTTCCCATGAATTGAGCTTTCTTTCGGTGGTGTTTGATCGCCTTTGCGGTTTTAATTTTTTGCGCTATAAAAAAAAAAAAAAACCAACAATTTTCAGAGAAAAACAATATTTTGGACTTTTTGCTATTAAGTCCAGTAAAAATATTTTTTTAAAATTAACTTCATCATAACTTTATGCCAAAATCTAAATGACATGTCTTTGCTAAAAAAAAAATCCCAATACATGTAAATTAATTGATTTATGTGCAAGTTATAGCGTTTACAAATGGCGGTTTAGATACTAGTATTTTTTTTTCTACTAGTAACGTCAGCGATCAGTGAATTTTAACAGGACTGCGGCGGACATTCTGACACTGGGGGTAACTAATTTGGTGTCACTGAAATCCCCAGTGACACCAATACAGTGATCAGTGCTAAAAAAAAAAAAAAAGCACTGACACTGTACTAATGGCACTGGGCAGGAAGGGGTTAACATGAGAGGTGATCAAAGGGTTAACTATATGTAGGGAGTGTTTTTTCAGAGGACAGGGGTGTGTGCTTCACTGTAAGCACACTGATCGGGATGGCTGTGCTGTGCACAGCTATCCTGAGCAGTGTGCCAGAGCTGACAGGGAGGAATACTGTTTGTAAACAAAAACAGTCTTCCTCCCCGTCGGAGGCCCGGTGATTGACAGCCGGGGCCGCGAATGGCGGCGCTGGTAGGGCTCGCATGCGCCCCCTACCCGGAAATGCAAAATCATGTAAATATACATGATTTTGCACTCCCATGATACCCTGTAGCAGTATTTCTGTTATAGGGTGGCCAGGAAGTGGTTAAACAGCGTTTATTGACCATTGTTAGCAGGGAGTCACAAACCTTCTGGTAAGCCTTGCATGAGAGTGGATGGTGACACTTTGGCTATCTCTGAAGTTTCCTGTTTCCATCATGACATGTGGGACTGATTATTATTTTGATTATGCACATTATTTACCCTATGGACTCTTTATGATCACAATTTTTCCCATGTTTATTATATTTGTTATTTTGAATGGTACAGGTGTAAATTGTTTTACATTTTTGAATGAATAAGCGCTGCACTTTTTATTATACACATAGATATAAACGGACAATCATTTGGAGGACCCTGTTACACACATTTCCATATACTTAAGATGTTTTGGATCATAGCACAAATTGGTACTATTTCACTTTAATTGCACATTGAAATAAGAGCTTTGCACTATACCAAGTATTGTGTCACATTTATGCATAGCATCATAAAGTACTTTAAATATTTTCTTGTATCAGCGCTGCTCAACAATTTTCAATATATGATAAAAGATTAGGTCAAATGAATTTATTCCCCCTTGAGAAAAGCAGTTTAAAGGGGGAATACAGTGGATATAAAAAGTCTACACACCCCTGTTAAAATGTCAGGTTTCTGTGATGTAAAAAAATGAGATAAAGATAAATAATTTCAGAACTTTTTCCACCTTTAATGTGAAGAAAAAAACTGTAGAAGTCAATTTAAAAACAAACTAAAATCTTTTTTGGGGGAAGTAAACATAAAAAACTAAAATAATGTGAATGTATAAGTGTGCACACCCTCGTATAACTGGGGATGTAGCTGTGTTCAGAATTAAGCAATCACAGTCAAAATAATGTTAAATAGGAGTCAGTACACACCTGCCATCCTTTAAAGTGCCTCTGATTAACCCCAAATAAAGTTCAGCTGTTCTAGTAGGTCTTTCCTGACATGTTTAAGTCGTATCTTACAGAAAAAGTCATGGTCTGCAGAGAGCTTCCAAAGCATCAGAGGGATCTCATTGTTAAAAGGTATCAGTCAGGAGAAGGGTACAAAAGAATTTCCAAGGCATTAGATATTCCATGGAACACAGTGAAGACAGTCATCATCAAGTGGTGAAAATATGGCGCAACAGTGACATCACCAAGAACTGGACATCCCTCCAAAATTGATGGGCTATGGAGTATAGTGGCAAGATAGAAGCCTTTTCTTACGAAGAACAACATCCAAGCCCGGCTAAATTTTGCAAAAACACATCTGAAGTCTCCCAAAAGCATGTGGGAAAATGTGTTATGGTCTGATGAAACCAAGATTGAACTTTTTGGCCATAATTCCAAAAGATATGTTTGGTGCAAAATACAACACTAAAGATAACCAAAAGAACACCATACCCACAGTGAAGCATGGTGGTGGCAACATCATGCTTTCAGGCTGTTTTTCTTCAGCTGGAACTGGGGCCTTAGTCAAGGTAGAGGGAATTATGAAGAGATACAAATACCAGTCAATATTGGCACAAAACCTTCAGGCTTCTGCTAGAAAGCTGAACATGAAGAGGAACGTCATCTTTCAGCAACAACCCAAAGAAAACATCCAAATAATCAAAGGAATAGCTTCACCAGAAGAAGATTAACGTTTTGGAATGGCCTAGCCAGAGCCCAGACCTGAATCCGATTAAAAATCTGTGGGGTGATCTGAAGAGGGCTGTGCACAAGAGATGCCCTCGCAATCTGACAGATTTAGAGTGTTTTTACAAGGATGAGTGGGCAAATATTGCCAAGTCAAGATGTGCCATGCTGATAGACTCACACCCTAAAAGACTGAGTGCTGTAATAAAATCAAAAGGTGCTTCAAACAGAGTATTAATTTAAGGGTGTACACACTTATGCAACCAAATTATTTTAGTTTTTATTTCTACTTCACTCCACCTAAAATATTTCAGTTTGTTGTTCAACTGAGTTGTAGTTCATAGGTTACATTAAAGGTGGAAAAAGTTCTGAAATGATTTCTTTGTCTCATTTTTTTACATCACAGAAACTTGACATTTTAATAGGGGTGTGTAGACTTTTTATATCCACTGTATTATCAACGTGTATAAATATATAATTAGACCATATAGTGAACTTGCAAAGTTATTTACTTTAAGGTCATTACAAAGGACAAGAGGGGCCCTCATTGCAACTGGAGGAAAAGAAGTTTAACTTCTGCATATGAAAAGGCTTCTTTACAATAAAATCTGTGAAAATGCAGAATAGACTCCTTCAGGAATGTTTTCTATCTAGCTCATTTGATGTTTAAAAAAAAAAAAAAAAAAGTGTTGGATGCATTCCTAAATGCACAGAATATAAATGCCTAACATAAAAATAAAAACACCGGAGTGTTAGATTGTTGATCCAGGGAATATCCAATTGTCTCTGGATCAACATTGGGTATAAGATACTGTATATGGAGGTTTTCAATGTAATTATTCATTTCTTCCAATGGTGGAACTAGAGAACCGTGTGTGTTTTTCAACCTAATGATAACTTAACTGAATAACTGAGTCTAATAGAGAGAAATATGCAGTAAAAAAGTTGTCTAGTCATACCACAGGTTCCTCCTCTTTCATTGGAGCTTCAATTGTGTGGAATTCACTGGCAGAAAAGGAAACATCTGTAGAAGCAGATTGTTCTGTAGCAAAGCAGGAAGGCACATAACAATCCAGTAAAAAAGACATAATAAATTAAATTAAAGCAAAACAGTAGCTTTGTAGTTTATAATGCATGAGTTTACTTCTAAGGGTAGCAGTCTTTCTAGACAAAGTTTAGGCATTCAGTTTAACTGAATTAACCAGAAAAATAGTTTGATCTGTGTTTCAATACTCTAGAAGCTGGGTATTGCTAAGCCTGCATTTGTCTAGCTTGGCGGACACCGGAGAACCTTTTAGATCCTGCTTTACTTAAATGCAGCTCTACGTCCTATTACTTGCTACCACTCCAGTACTTGCTAGCATTGTGAAATGCTCATATCAGTCCCCAAAAATTTACATCTTTCAAAAAGCTGCAGGTAAGCAACTCTTACAGCTGGACCTTGCTTCCACTGCTTGCAAACATATGGATGTTTCTTGCTGCTCTTGATAATCCTGGTGGGTTCTACTGATTACCAAACTTGCTTCTGACTGGATTTACATTGCAGTAACATAATATGAGTGTCTGCTATATGTCTATTCAATCCATATAGGTTCTGCTTTCTGGAAGTGACAAAAAGTCCATTCATCCATATATTTGTGCAGTGATTGCTTTAGGATTAAATCACAGTTCAATATACCTCATGTTTTGTGCATGAGAGGTTTCCATGCTTGCTTTTACTTAGTTTAGTATATGGAAAACTAACATGAAGGAACAAAATGCTGTGCCACAAGGAATAAGACTCCAAGCAAGGTTAGAACCCATTTGGAAACTATGGAAGTGAGAAAATATACATTTTTGGTAAACCAACATTTTAGACACCGCGTCAAAATTAGGGGTTCATTTTTCATGAGCACTTATAGCTGTGCTGCAAATATAATTTATCATCAAGCAAAATATCTTTGTCCTCACATACATGTAAACTCATATTAGTGATATGTGCCAGCCTGATCACTGCAACGCTCTCTGGCTGCTAACTGAGGACAACTAGGATGCAAAATATAAAAGAATGCTATAAAAACAGGTTGAACACCCAACAATTTAATATCTGAAGCATACAATCTGTTTTTGGTATAAAACTAATCAACGGATTTATGAATAAAATAATTTAAATCCAAAGTGGCAAATCCTAAAACCACTCCACCCAATATGAAAGTACAAATATACAGTAAAAGAGTCAATTAGGGCCATTGCTGTTTATGTATTGGATAGAACCAATATTCAAGTTTGAATCCTACTCAATAATTAAATTGTGCACTTGTTTAATAATTAAATCGTGTGAGTTAAATATTTCAAAAAAATTAAATAAAAATTGTTTTTATATATCTGAAGGACATTTTTCCCAGTGTGCAAGAGATGCATGAAAATAAATAACCCGTATAAAGTGATTTTAAAGCTAAAATGTTTTTTTACCTTGCATTCCCTGCATTAAGGGTAAAAATGTTTTAGAACGTGGTGTGTCCATCTAACCCTCTATGCACTTATCTCACTCCTGGATTGATCCAGTGCTGTGCCCAGCTGCAGACTTCTCTCCTCTCTCCCTCTTCACACAGGGACTGACAGGAATCAATAAGAGCCATTGGCTCCTGCTGCTGTCAATCAAATTCAATGAGTAAAGGCAATGTCTTTTATAATTTTAGCAATCACTAATCCATAAAAATGTCACCATTGTGTTTATTTGCATCTACACAAACCTGATCTGATGTTACCCTAAATTTATGCTAAAAATTTACATCAACCATTTCTTTCCTCATGTGTTGTGATGTAGTGTTGAAAGGGGAATTAAACTCTACTAAAGTAAAACTCAAACCTTCACTTTGAGCTTTACCATTTAGCTATCTTACATAAAATTTCACTTTTGTGAAATCATTTTAATCTTTTTCAGCAGATAGTTTGGGGGTAAATATATTATGGTGTGCAAACAATGTAAAATTAGCATAGTGAAAACATTTCAAGAAAAAGATAAAGCATTTTTTCTACGTTTTCACTTTTTCTTCCATATAAAACCCTAGAAACTAATAATATATGTATGCAAATCTACCACCAAATAAAACACTATCTGTCCTGAAAAAAATATAAAAATACAAAACAATATATAAAACACTAAAAAGTATAATATACAGAAGACACCTCTGGACAAAAAAAAGCTCTGAGATGCAAGTAGATTTAAAGGGAAAATGGGTTAAAGAAAATGTTAAAAAATAGCATAAAAAGGATATAACACATTGGGTCTCCCAATGTATCGCACAGTAGAAAACCATTTAACAAAATCTAAAACCACTGTTTTCTGGGTTGGATTCACATATTGGGAGCCTATAAATGCAAACCATCTGGTGCCTTAGGTCCTGCCCATAAACAGGCCTCGCCCCAAAACCATGTCCCTGTTATGCTGCATAAAATGTTTTTTTATTAAAGGATAAGTTCACCTTTCATAACATGTTACACCCATACTCAGGATGCAACATGTAACAAAATATAACATGTTATAAAATGTCCGTCCCCCATTTTGTCAGCTAGCGGGGACTCTTCAACTCGACTAGCTGTCAAAATCTGAAAAAAAGTGGCCATGCGGGGCCCTGTCCGCCCTGCCACGTCACTCATTCACAGTGTTCTGTGAATGAGAAACTACAAGTCCCAACAGCCTTAGAGAGTTGGCTTGTAGTTCTCAATGAACTACCATGGCGCTGTTGAGCGCCATAGCAGTTCATTGATTACTCCTGTCAGTAAGTATTGGCTTGTCCATAAAAGGAATGAGCATGCAGATATAATGACAGGTCTGCAGAATCCCTGCATGCCATCAGTGATCTGCAGGTGCAATGGTTTACAGGCTCCTACAACAAAAAAAGTGCAAATTATTTTTTGTTGAAAGGTGAATTATCCTTTAATCCCTGTTACAATGTGCACAAAAACAAACAGCTTGGAATGTGACAATTGGTAATGGGGGCTGATGCAGCAGGCAGATTTATCTACTTATTTCTAGCTAATTTACCTGTATACTTCCTTATGAAGCAGAACATTATTTACATTCAGTCTATGGGCCTAACAATTCAGCAATAATCCTGCATGATTTAAGCTAACAAAGTAATACATATACTGTCTTTTGGTGGTCAGGGCACAAACAAGATGTTCTTTTGGCACTATTGTCTTGCAAAAATGATTTTATTTTCTGTCAAGCTATTAGGCATAAAGATTTAACAATAAATAAATGGGGTAGAAATTATATCTAAATGTAGAGGGAAAGTCAATAAGGGCTAATTAAGGGTAATTCATGGTTATGGGCTAATAATGGTTAAATACATACAGTTTTCATAAAAAAAACTCAAACTTTGTTTTCACTTTCCAAGTTGTTTTAAGCCTACAGTCTGTCAGAGTTTCTGCAAAAGACCAGGACTCAATCCTGGCCCCTCATAAGGTGTCACCTGTAGGTTAGTGCCTTGCATGTCCTATGGCAAATTCTGTCTGTTATATTTGGTGCATGTGTAAATTTTAAAACTTACAAGACCTACCACTTTACAAGACCTTCAGACAGATAGCTGTAATGAAGACTTAGGTATGCATTTTTAAGACTCCTAGCCAACTAAGGTCATGTTAGATGGTAAAAAGTCCTAGTTAAAAGGAGATGTACAGCCAAAGCTCGTTTGGCTGTATTTTTCCTGTGGCTCACAGGATGCAGTTCGTTCTCCTGTGACCCCTTTTCAGCTGGCACCTGATAATATCACAGAGCCGATTCAGGCTGGGGAAAGATCATGACCATATGGTCCAGCACCTGGCTCAGTCTCTCAATGAGCCACTGAGAGCCTGAGCCATTCACTCCCTCCCCACAGCCCAGTGCTCCTGTGAGCCCTGGAGGGCAGAGCAGAGAGATGGAGACCAACAGTCCCAGCTATCTCCTCAGAGTGGTCAGGAGAACTGAGCCATCAGCAGAACTGTTTGATCATTCAGTCCTCAGCCTTAGAGCTGGCGGGGGACAAATGCAGCATGGGATCGATGCTACATCCACCTAGGTAAGTATGATTAAAGAAAAAAATCCAATATTTCTCTTTTAAAAATTACACACAGTAGAAATTTGATAACAGAGCTAGCATGATGTATTTGTATATCAGTTACCATTCACAATTTGGGAAGAGGGTCTTGAGGGTGTTTCGTGACTTTTTAGTGTGAGATCCATTTCCTGTAGTTACAAAAATTAAAAGCTAAGAATTGATGTCACAAATGAGCCAAAAAATTTACAAAAAAAAGCACAGCAATGAAAAAGATAGGGAACCATAAGGTGAAAAAACTAACCTCATCTTGTGAAAGGGACTGAGATCGAATAAGGGAACGCCTTTTCTTCACAAGGTCGGCATCTCGAAGATGACCTAGACCTCCTCCTTTTCGTGGAGGAGCAACTGGAACAGTTGCTGACTGAAGGGAAGTTTCTCCTTCTTCCAGGTTTAACTCTGTTAAACCTTCATTAACACTTAGTCTTTTCTTAACCCGAGGAGGTGGAACAACTCCAGAATTGCTTGTCTCTTTAACAGTACCTGGTATATTTTCTTCCTCTGTATTTATAATGTCATCTTTCTGAGGAACAATACAAAATTTTGTGTTTTGCTCTGCCTCAGGACATGAGGTCTTTTTTTCCACAGCAGAGTATTTTGGTAAACTGTCTACAGGAGGAGATATTACTAATTTTTGTTTGTCATATTTATTCTGTGTCTCAGGCAAGGCTTCTAATTTATTTTTTAGTTTAGGTGCAGATTCATTATTTTCATGCATTAATTGCTTTATTGTTTCATTTTTATCTGTTATAGCACTTAATGCTTCCTGAGATGCAGGAGTAGACTTTTTCACCACTTGTTCATCAGAGGATAAGTCTGGAAGATTTTCCTTTCCATGGTCTACTTTTACAAAGTGTTTTTCATTCATGGGTGTGGGTTTAACACTGTGTTCCTCTGTGATAGCTTGATCTTCGGAAGTAATATTTTGTTGCTTGGAGTTCAAGTTTGACTGTAGTTCTGAAACAGTGTCATGTTTCTGCTTATCCACGTGAGGATTTTGAGTTGTTGCAGTTGGATGAACACTTGTGAAGTGAGATCGAATTTGACAGAGGTATGTGAGAATAATGAGCTTGTCTGGCACAGAACGAAGCAACATGTCAGATGGAGATAAAAGTGGTGGTATCCCAAGAGCAGCAAACCCATCATATGCCTATAAGTAAATAGGCAGAATTTAGCCAAAAATATGTTAGTATAAAAAAGTATTCCTGCATCACTGGAAAAAGGAAAAACTGACCTTTTTGTTATTCTCCTTGACATTAAGTGGGTCCAACACTTCATAGTTGCTGAAAGAGAGTGAATGACATTTCATTAGGACAATTCATTGCACACTCTTCCATGTGTCAAGGGTTAGAAAAAATTAACAATATCTAAAACACAGCCAACACATTAAGGAAGGTACTTTTGTGCTCAGTTCAAAATTCATTTTAAGAAGCCTTACCTCGCGTCTTACTAAAATTATTAGACCACTAGCAGAACTACTACTAAGAAAAATGGTGCAACTACTCTTGGGCCTACCAAACCCATATGGGACTTGTTACATTTGCAGTAGAGAATCAGAGGCCTCAGAGCACAATGGCAAGCTATAGGCCTGCTGTGAGAGATGATTATGGGGACAATCTGCATGCACAGAAACAGCAGGTGTGGACTGCTGCACTAGGTGATAGGCTATCATTGGATCATGCTGCCTACACGTCATTGTCTCTCAGACTTATTTTAGAGTTGGTGTATCCTGAAAAACACCATTTTCAAAAGGCTCCTACCAAGGCCTATTTTTACAAATACATTTGATAAAATAAAAATTACACGATTTAAAAAAAGTAGTCAAAGAAAGTAGATCCTTGAGTAGCAAATATACTTTTTTAATTACAATATAGTAAATACCATGAAATTCGAAGAAAATCTCAAATAAGTACTATTTAAAGTATATATAAACCCTGACAACGAATTTCTCTGAACTCTTGTTTGTTTAATATACCATTGAAAGCATTTTGCTGAAAAAGAAGCCATTGCACAGAGGGATTACTGTTATCCACATTTATTGCACTCTCTATGATTAAGGTCTATTGGATGAAACTCATTAGAATTGCAGTCCTAAGGTGAGGACTGTCGATGTCATGCTTGCGGATATCTCTGGCAATAAACGTTGATACCACCGATTGCCTCATGTGTGGTGTCTCCTTTTTTTTCCCAGTGTGTGAGCGGGGAGGGCTTGTATTACACCCGACACTCTGGCTTCAATTGGCAGTGAAGAAGAGTGGCTTGGAGAGGATAATTTTTAAGTCTATGCATTAACATTGAAATTGTTTTCTTATAGCCATTTGATTTCCAAAAATCTGTTGATTTTGCTGGAAATCTTGTGAGCTAGCGACATCATGTTCTCGTTTCCAAATTACATTGTTCTCTGAGGACTACAGAACTGGTCTCCGCTATATTACTGAGAGGGGAGGGCTCCGTTATTCTATCTTGTTTCTGTTGTCTTAATACAAAAGGGCAAGCAAGTTTGTTATACAGTACTGGGAGTGTGTTACTGGCAGAATCAAAAGGTACAAATACATTTAAGAAGGTTTGAAAAAAGAAAACCACATCTAAGAACAGGTAGGCTGCAATATATTACTGTTTTATTTTTGGGTTTAAATACATTTTTAGTAAAATTATATCTCTTTCTGCAATACAAAATATAATTTTCATCTTTGAAACATTAACTGAAGAATTAAAATAATTTGGACCCATATGTAGTCATTCTACCTCCTTAGCATGTCTTAGGCTGGCTTCACATACAGCAGGCCAACCAACCTTCTAAATGCACCTGCATTGAAGTGCAGTGCACTACACAGTAACTTCCATACACTGTGCTGCACTGAAAAAAAAAAGGTGTAGCTATATCTGAGCTTCCTCAATGCAACACACCTTAATGCAATCCACCAGAGTGGACAGGTGTAATTAGACCCTTCAATTTTCTACATTTGTCTTCAAATCATTTATTTGTGCTGGGGATGACCCTGGATCTGAGACCCAGGCTGCATGTAGGGTTCCATTTTTTTTTTACATTAAAAAGTTAACTTTGCCCATCCTGACACTAAGGGGTATATATGTAAACTAGTGAATGTGACCACCAAATATTCACTTGTGGTGCATCAATCACTGTTATTTAAAACACGTGCACCTGAAAGATTCATCTATAGTGAATGTTTGGGGAATGTTATATTCACTGCTTAAATGTGCCACCATGTCTTGTCCCCTGTAATACAGTTGTAAAATCCTCAGTGTCCACAGGAGAGCCAAAAGCTGTCTGTGGTTTACCATTAATATTAGTTAATATACTATGGTGGATATGCCAGGTTCACTTTACACTACCTATGGACAAGAGATGGCAGTTGAAAGCTCCAACTGCTGTACACGTATTCTGTAGAGCATTTATGCCAAACATGTACACAAAAACTTGTGGTGTTGCCCTTATCCCAGGGGACAATATCAAACTATTGGAAAGACCCAGCTTAGACAACCTGTTTCTCTTAACCATTTTTTGCATTACGGCGCTGCTTTAATTTAACTGACGCGGTCATGCAACACTACACCCAAATGAAATTCATGTCCCTTTTTCCCCACAAATTGAGCTTTCTGTGGTTGGTATTTGGTCGCCTGTGCGGTTTTTATTTTTTGCGCTATAAGCAAACAAAATCAGCAATTTTGAGAAAAAACTATATTTTGGACTTTTTGCTATTAAACATTTCCAGCAAAAAAAAAAAAAAAAATCGAATTTCATCATAAATTTAGGCCAAAATGTATTCTGCTACATGTCTTTGCTAAAAAAAATCCCAATACGTGTAAATGAATTGGTTTATGTGAAAGTTATAGCGTTTACAAATGGCGGTATAGATAATGGGATTTTTTTTTTCTACTAGTAATGGGGGCGATCAGCGACTTTTAGCGGGACTGAGGTGGACATTCTGACACAGGGGGGAACTAACTTGGTGTCACTGACATCCCCAGTGACACCAATACAATGATCAGTGCTAAAAAAAAAGCACTGGCACTGTACTAATGACACTGGGCAGAAAGGGGATAATGTGAGGGGTGATAAAAGGGTTAACTGTGTGCTGGGAGTGTTTTACTAGGGGTCGGGTGGTGTGTGCTTCACTGTAAACACACTGATCGGGATGGCTGTACTGTGCACAGCCATCCCGAGCAGTGTGCTCGAGCTGACAGGGAGGAAGATTGTTTGTAAACAAAACAATCTTCCTTCCCGTTGGAGAAGCTCGGTAAACACCGGGCGCCGGCAGGTAATTACCGGCTGGGACCCGGTGACTGAAATCCGCGGCCTCGAATGGCGGCGCGGGTAGGGCTCTCTTGCACGCTCCCTACCCAGGAATGCAGAATGACATATATATACATGATCCTGCGCACAGGTGCTGCCCTGTAGCAGTATATCTGCTATAGGGAGGACCTAAAGCAGTTCATATTGGTCAGCCAAGAGATATTTTCCAATAGATTTAGGATTGCTTCTTAAACAGGCCACAATTAACTGGAATGGGCTATGATGAACCTGTCCATAGCTGTCAAATTTCCAGACAGACCCAGACACAGCATGGCTACACTGACACACAGTTATATAATAAGGAATAAAGGCACAGTCAAATGCCTTTAAGCTTCCCCAAAAATTAGACAAAAGTAATAACAGGTTATAGTTAGAGTTCTAAACAGCTATGTCAAAATACTTGTTCGGGACAGAGATTTTGTAACCCCTTCATGACAATGGTAAAATAAATCTTAATGCCTGAACACAGATTTGCAACTTTGACATGTGTTAGTAAAACTATACATATCATCACAACTTAGTGTAATTATGTGAATTATACCTTGTTTTTATTTAGGACAAATTGGGCTTTTATTTTATGGTAAATAGTAATGGATATCTCCATGCACAAAAAAAAAAAAATAGCTATATATTTCTTGCTATCATTCTGACCTACCACCAAAGGACAACCCAAAACAAATTCCCCTGCCCCTGACGATCACAGAGATACCACGTGTGCGTATTATTTGTTGTTTGCAACCACAGTATAGCTCAAAAACAATAGTACACATTTTGCTTTTCTTATCAAGCCTAAAACACTGATGTTGACAAGCACTGATACTAACTTTAAAAAATACATTTTTTTAATCCTATCTAAAGTACACTGACCCTAACTTTTGACTCTAAAATCTAAAGGAAAGTTGTACAGGAACGTTAACCCTAACACTGACCTAGATCAAGCTCTGATATATCTAGTTATCATATATATATATATATATATATATATATATATACAGTTGCAAGAAAAAGTATGTGAACCCCTTGGGATTACGTGGAGTTTTGCATGAATTGGGCATAAAATGTGCTCTGAATGTCATCTAAGTCACAACAACAGAAGAACACAGTCTGCTGAACATAATACTACACAAACATTAGATGTTGCCATGGTTTAATTGCACATAACATGTAAACATTCACAGTGCAGGGAGGAAAAAGTATGTGAGGCCCTAGCTTAATGACTTCTCCCAGAGCTAATTGGAGCCAGGAGTGAGCCAACCTTGACTCCAATCAGTGTGATGATATTGGAAGTGTTGCTGACAGCTGTCCTGCCCTTAAAAAACACACACCTGTTTTGGGTTTACTGGTTTCAAGAAGCACTGTCTGATGTGAACCATGCCTCGCAGAAAAGAGCTCTCAGAAGACCTACGATCAAGAATTGTTGACTTGCATGAAGCTGGAAAGGGTTACAAAAGTATCTCCAAAAGCCTTGATGTTCATGTGTCCATGGTAAGACAGACTGTCTACAAATGGAGAAAGTTTAGCAGTGTTGCTACTCTCCCTAGGCGTGGTCGTCCTGTAAAAATGACTGCAAGAGCACAGCGCAGAATGCTGCATGAGGTAAAGAAGAATCCCAGAGTGTCAGCTAAAGACCTACAGAAATCTCTGGCACATGCTAACATTTTTGTTGACACATCTACAATAAGGAAAACATTAAACAAGAATGGAGTACATGGGAGGACACCATGGAGGAAGCCATTGCTGTCCAAAAAGAATATTGCAGCACGTTTGAAGTTTGCAAAAGAGCACCTGGATGTTCCACAGCACTACTGGCAAAATATACTGTGGACAGATGAAACCAAGATTGAGTTGTTTGGGAAGAACACACAACACTATGTGTGGAGAAAAAAAGGCACAGCACACCAACATCAAAACCTCATCCCCACTGTAAAACATGGCGGAAGGAGCATCATGGTTTTGGGCTGCTTTGCT